GAAATTGGAGTGATTTTTCTTGTGCTATCGGTGTTCCTACCGTTCCAAAGTGAATTGTCGGTGATTTTTGCGTTTGTGCAAGCTGTGACAAGTTTCTCGAGAGGCCTACTCTTCTCTCATCTGTAGTAGCAGATATCGAACAAGGTAAATCCACCATTGGTCGTTTACAAATTCTCGATGTAGAATCGTTTGAATATTCTTGGAATAAGATAAAACAGCGCCGAGAGAGTTACTATAACCGCAATCTGAAGGAAATTCAGTCGGGTAATGCAACTTCTCTTACGTCGATTCAACCTCTAAGCACACTGTTTCGTAGCGAAGAGCCGTAGAGATTTTTCCCTGGCTCTTGTCTCATCCTAGACGTGTATCGCGTGATAAATGGTCCGTTCGTGCGAGAAGCAGCCTTGTACAGGTTGTCGAGTGAACTCGTCACGAATGTGGGTGTCGTTCAAATCTGCTCTATTCGTGTTGGAACTTTCGTGAACGCGTTTCGCGCGTGATACTCGAGAGATATAAGGTGTTTGCGCACACCGTAGCTAGGCGGCGATAAAGAACGGGGAGCGGGAGGGGGGTGAAAAAAGAGCGGGAAAGTTAGAAGCGTCCAAACTCGCGGTAGGGGAAGGGAAGTTCATTTGCAAATATTTTATTGCCCGTCGCGCTTCCTTCTCCCTTCTTCCTCGTGCGCACATTTTTCACGTTTATTAAATCCTCTTTCTTTGTTCCCCCACGCCTTTATTCCACCGAACAATGGTACACACGGTCGATTCTCGAACCGCGAAAAGAAATTCTGTTTCGCCCGCTTGAAAAGAGCTTTTCCTCGTTCGAAAATCACTCGACCCTTAAGCCCCGCTCACCCTGTATGCAAGGTACAAATGACTTTTTCGCATACCACGGTAGAGCCTTCGTTGCATTCGATCGGAATGTGCGATTCATGTTGATCTTCAAGTATTCCTTCGAATTCGAAAGCGAACAAAGTGGATAATATTCAATAAAACGAAGCAATAAAAGCAATAAAACAATAGTCTTTAATTGCCAACGTGTGTGTCGTGTTTGTGCGTTGATAGCAAAGAAAATCACATTACCTGGAGAATAATTGGAATTCCGATCGCGAATCGATGTCACGTGAAAGCGAGAATTCTTTGGACCGATCACCCGTTGAAAACAAGGTTCTCCCGAAAGACACCAAATTTCACCTCGTTTCCGTCACCCGAAAGCCGCTCGTTCCTCGGCATCGCCGTGGAGGAGCGTAAGGAAAGTAAAGCAGCAGTAGCAACCGTTTGCCCGCCAAATGAGATTCTGATACAGCGATAGGAAGGGGCTCGATTTATCGGAAATTAATATGCTACGCTGGGCGAGGCTGGAAAAGAGAGGAGCGCCGGCACGGGAATTTAAAATAGATTTGCTCGCGCCAGGAGCAAGCATCCTCGTTCCTCTTGCTTCTGGCTTATCGCGTCTAAGAAGGTACGTAACGAAGCGTGGATGGGGGCTGGCTGAGGCATATTTATGCTGCTCCGAAATCGAGCAACTAGATAGAGGAGAACTAGCCCTGGACTCGAGGGACGGAAGGGCTTCTGAACTGCGGAGATAGAGGTCTTGCGCTCCTAAGAATCAAGCCACGTCCCTGAACGAATTCGGGAAATGAAGCAGAGGTCGCCTGCAGTGATCTTGACTTATGGTTTTCGGTGGATCCTCCGGGAGTATTAGGATAAGGTAGTTTCTGCCACGATAAACGTGTCCCACTTAGCAGAGTTTCAAATCTACTGTTAAATCTGCTGTTAGCGAGAAGGTAGAAGGTAAAATGTTTCTGCTATGACGAAGGTAGATGCAACGTTCGACGGTCGAGAACGACCAGACTCGCTACGTAGCCTAATGCATAAACAATGTACCATTTATCCGTGTTGAAGCTCGTTTCCGGCCGACGTGTGCCGAAAAGTTTCGCGAATGAACATCGCGCGCACCAAGTCCGTGTCTCGGAATGTTTCGCAAACTGTTGAATACGGGGGGTTTTGTACACAGATGGACGCATTTTTCTCTTTTTTTTTTTTCCTTCCACTCGCGCGTATGTTTGTTTAGAAAGTGTCGTTGTAACCGGCGTGTTACGCGTGTTAACCGAGGGAATTTCGTTGTTCGTTTCAGAAGTTCCATGGAATAGCGACGCAACGATGATCACTATGAAGTTTTTTCGCGTTATTCTGCCACTCCTAGGAGGCGTACACGTGCTCTGCGCTCAACAGCAGCCCTGTCCTTCTCCCACGGTGAAAGGTGCCGGTAAGTTAATTTTTCTCTTCTTTCAACACTTGAACGACCGCGCGTACCAAAAAGGGATTTCACCTATTTTGCCAACTACTCGTGTCGGCAATTATTGCCAGTTTTATTCCGCGGCTAACCGGGTCAAACGTATCCTCCGTTTGGCGCACAGTCGCGCAAACTGAAGACGTTCCTCCGCGAGAAATAATCGAAATTAAGATCATCGACCCTTCGATGAAACTTTTACTCGCGCTCGTCGGAGAGATACAAATGTAGGTCGAAGAATATAACGAGAAGCCCCTCGCAAGCTTGCTTCGCAAGTTTCCTACTCGAGATAACCTCTCACACCCGGACACCACACGCGCAAAGTAATCCTACAGAGCAATTCGAACCACCAGTAACAACACACACCTAGTCAATAAAAGAGGGAACATGGACACTCGAAGAAAGAACTCGTTCAGTTTTCGAAGCGCACACAACAAGTATAACACACTCGACTTACCGTTAGTGAACTCTCGGTAGATAATTAATTTAAAGGGTATCATCGTAGGAGAGAATCGGTTGAAATCCATATTTTATCAGGAACAAGACACACAGCGGTTGCAAGAAAGCACGAAGGCTCGCGTATCCTTCTAACGAAGAGCCGCGGTTAGATAGCGACGAAAGCGAACGATGGCTGCCGGCTTTCTATGTAATTAACGGCTATCCATCCTCTTCGTAATTATGAAGCGGAGCTGGAGCGGTAATGAAATCTCTGCAAGCAGTAGGAAACGAGTCGACGGCATGCGAATGAGTCCGTCGAGAAGACTGACGCTTTTGACGTTTGTCAACCTACCTCTGTCATTTCGTTAAATTCGTCGTTGGCGTTTTTCCCCCACCGGAGTTTTTCTAGCCGGCGAAACGGAGAAGTGATCTCTTTGAAAGGAGACCGGGGGGAACGTATCACGCTCGTACATGTTCAATTAGTTCTACCGACGTTTTTGCCCGGTTCCTTTTATAACTTGGTTGTATCAGAGGTAAAAGAAGAACGTCGGTTTTAATACTAGAATTGGCTCGGACGAATATAGCAGTCCGTTTAAACAAATTTCACAGTTCGATGCTAGCTTTCTTCCACGGTGTTTCCGTTAAATAGACGGTAATTGCCTCGATTTAGCGCTTTATTAACACATTCGGTATTCTCTCCGAGCGACTATCAGTTTCCAGCAGCCGATGATGATCAATTTTCGATTGGAGAAAGGCAGCCGACGTGAATCATTTTTCACCGTGACACGTGAAAATTACGCTATTGAGGTTTCTATTACGTGTCTTTTCCCCGGGAAATGATGTCGCCTCGTAAGTTATCGAGTAATATTCCGAGCTTGGAGAAAACGTTGTACTTGAGCGCGTGAAACAAGAGGTAGAGGAAAAAAGAAGATCTGCGATCGTAAGAAATAGAACGGCGATAAATTCGATCGGTATATTCGTCATCGGGTTTAATGGACGAAATTTCGCGGCATGTTTCGTACCTTCCGTTCCATTGAAAAAAGTGTCTCTACGTCGTCTACTTGTTCGAGTACCACTTACGCCTTGATTACGTTCCAACGAAAAGAGAAAAAAAATACCAATATCGCGACCGTTCGCCTCTCTCTCGAAATAAACATTTCTCGACATACTTTTCTGCTGGTTTCCTTGATAGTCGAAAATCTACAAAAATTCCAAATTTCTTGGATAATTTTGCTAGAAATGTTGTACAACCGTTGAAATGAAATTGAAAAGCTGGTGTATCGATTTCGATTCGTATTTGTACAAATACGGAAAGGAAAGAAAGAAATTCGTCGTTTCTATTCCTGTCTCGTTATCGGAAGAAAATCGATCGGAATGCAGCTCACGAGGAAGCTTCCATTAAGTAGGGAAGATCGTCGGATAGAGGCGGGTCGTTTAAGCCTCGATTCGACGCTCGATTTATCAAACCCGTCGATGACAGCGTCCTCGGATATTACCACGACACTTTGCCCACCCTCCACCTTTCCTCCTCTCCCTGATTCCATCGAATTCGTTTCGTATCCTTATTCTAGCCGGAGCGATTATACGCGATGGCGTGTATAATGCGGTTTCACTGGCGACCTCGATATCATTCGGTGCAGGGATCCTTCCCGGCAATCCCCGGGACATGGTAAAAACTAAGATTACTATGCAATGCAATCAGCGGCGTACCAGGGTTCTTTCAGATTAAAACACAGTCCCGGGATTACCGGTCGAAACTATTGTTTTGCCGGCAGGAGCTTCCAGGGTGGATTGTGCGGCCACGTTTCAGGCAAAAAGTTGCCTCGTGACGTGTCGTTCGAAGAGAAGTGAAGGGAACTCCACTGTCATCTCTCTCTCTCTCTCTCTCACACGTCGTTGGCGAATAGTCGGCGTGAGTTGATTGCGCCACGCGTACGCCATTTATACGCAAACGCGGTTCTCGACGGTTCGAGCGGTAGCGAACATTTGCATATTCTCCGGTGATTTTTAGAAGGGTCGCGAAATCGCGGCTGGATCGTTCCCGTGGTCGTTCGCGAAACGACACGGTCGCCGCCACTTGTTGGAGCGATGATAATATTAGTTCTCCGGTTATTCGCCTCGGCAAACTGTGCTGCTGTTTGATAAAATACGTTCATGCGGAGCAATACGAGTCTCGTTGTTTCCTTCTGACCTTCCGTGTTCTTGTCCGATTTCTATGTTGGGTTACTCGGCTCGTGGAAAATTTTGTTGAAAATTCTCCGGTGGGTTCATTTGAAGAGGGATGTATACGTGTGTGTGTGTATTTCGAATCTTCGCTTCGGAAAAAATGCTCGCTGGTAAAGCAGAACGGCGCGACATTATTACATCAAAGCTGCATGTCTATTCCCCGAAAACGGAGCACTTTCTCTAATTACCGTCTGCAACGTTTCTTGGAAAATGATTTTCACCGAGGGGACACGAGCTAATAAGCCCGAAGTGCATTTTTTGAAAACGGCCTCGTGACCGAGATCGGCCGTGAGTTCTATGAAAAATGTGTCGCTCGGTAACACATCGTCGCGACACTCGTATGCGAAAATTGAAGTGCACACGCGAACATGCCAAGTTGCCAGACTAACTCGTTAACTTTATTCCCCATTTCGGGCTGTACAAAGTGTAGGTACACTCGACGAGAGACCTAGGAGTATTCGCCTTCTCGGCTTTCGAATTTTTATCATATTCGCATATTCCGGACGCGAGGATTCTATTAACGGTTATTTTATTCATACGCAGCCAGGGTCTGGATGCCCCCTTTGTTCTCCGTTTGTATTACGCGCTCCGATTGTCCGCGACAGAAAATTTCTGATTAATCGCTTCGGTTCTTATCCGCGGCAAGTTCTAATTCAAACGACGATAGAAAAACCACGCGGTGGCGTTCTTTCGTACAATTTTCGCCACGGATTCATTCATTATCCACCGTAAATAACATTCTCCCTTGGTAAGAAGTATATTAGCGCGTACTGGAAAAAGTATCGTTAAGAGTCCTCTGTTGGATAGCGGATTATTTCGAAGTTTTAACAAACGATTCTCGAAACTCTTTCCTCCACAAGATTATCTTCCGTTTGAATCTTCGATCTGAATTGTCCTCGCGAAAAATTAAGTCTGTTCGGTAAATCTAATAAAAGAGAAAAATCACCTGGAACTATGCAAAGGGATATTTTCGTAGATTAAACCGGAGGGGTAAAGTTTGAGAAGCGAGAATGTGAGAAAAGGTGAGGATCTGTTCAATGGCCATCTCTCGATTTGGCCAGAGGCAGGGTGTGGTGTAATGCATAAACAATGCGCCGTTTATCCGTGCCGGGGATCCAAGCCCAATGAATAATAAACTACCCTGCAGACATGCGGTAGATATACTGGGTCTGGTACGGAGAGAGAGCACGCCTGGTGGACCATGGTGGGAGGATTATCGACGAAAAAGTGCCGTTGCTCGTGCACGATGACCCGGGCCAGGGTGTGAATATTATTGCTTTCAAGATTTCCACCCTCTATACGCGCCATTTAAGCCACGCTATACCCCCCTAGTGTCGATAAATTCGAGCGGGGCTGAATGGAGATGCGTACAATTCCGTGCAATAATAGCGAAGATGAGAACGGTCGGTGGGGGTGTCGATCAAGGATTTATGGCTCGATGATTTATATATCCACCGATTCGTACGATACTTGTACACATCGACGAAAGAAAGTTTATCCGTCGAATTGACGTTTAGTAACGCTGAAGAAAAATGTGCGTTTAAACGAGAGGAACACTCGAGGATGAATTGTGCGCAAGTCGTTCGAATTCTCCGAATACAATTGTAAGGGTAGACTCGTTGAAACGTGGGAGGTTACATTTACAACCCTTTTTCTGATTTATCCACTAACTGTTTATATCTTTTGTCCGTCCAGCTGGGAGGGTTGGTTCGTTATAGCCGAGAGAGATTGGAAAAAGGGCAGGTTGAATGGTGGAGAAAGACTTCATTAACATTCCACCGCAGGCATAATTAAATGTCGCTGATACGTCAGCCAGGGCAGCTCAAGTTAAACAAACAACGTTCTCAAAGTTACCGTTGAAAAGATCCTTTTGTATTTTCCACACAGACATCGGTCCTCCTCTTTTCCTCCCCGTTCCCCGTTCCACTCTGTATTCTTGTTCCAAGCGAAAGAAAACACTTGGACAATTTTCAACGTAAACTTTCCCCCTTTCGTTCTTCTCCTTTCGTTACGAGAAAACAATTTAACCTGGCAAGAGGTGCGGGAAGAAAGAAGAGTGAACTCGGAGGATTACTCGGTCGACGGATCGTTTAGCTGTTTGAATTGCCCGAGACAAACGATATTTGCCAAGTTTTATAGAATTCATTATCTTCGTGCGGGGAAAACGGTGAACGGTTTAATTGTGTAGAACCCGGGCGAATTACGGGGAATAAGTCGAGGGCGAAAACGCGGATAATTAAAATGGCTCAGCGGAGAGAGAGAGAGAGGAGAGCGCGCGAGGGCTTTTAAATTTTCGGCGACTCTAATTCTGG